GGGACAGGGCGCGGCGGCGGGGCTAGCTGCGCCTCTCCCCCGCAGGCTCTCGCTGTACGGTGCCGCCGGCCAGATCGCCCAGGAGATCGCGGAGAAAATCCAGGAGCGTAACCGCTGCCAAAGGAACGGGGAGAGTTCGGCCAAGGTACCTCTCTCCCGGCAGCTCCGGGCTTCGGGAGTGTGGACTTCTGGGGCTAAGTTTTGCTTTTAAGCGTTCGAAACATCACTGTTCTTTAAGATTCCTGTAAAGAGAAGAAGAGTATGGTTTCTAAATTGACGGTGGCTTTTCAGTGTCACAGAAATAACCTTGGATTTACCAGTAAGGAATCTTTTATGCCTGCAATAGCGCTGGCTTTACAAAAAGAGAAAAGGAGAAGCCGTGGGGCTGTTGGGTGCATGCTGCTGCCTGCTCAGGGCTGTCGCTGCCAGGAACAGAACTGCTTTCGGAGATCCTGAATCTAAGAGATGTTGGGTTGCATGTCAGCTTCTGCGCGCTCCTTTCTGTGTAAATATTGGGTAGATATTTTTTCCCCAGGAGGCTGGCTGGCTTCCTTTCTGCAGTGGCTGTAGATCAGATGAAATAATGAATTTTGCAGCCTGTTTTAGCTACGTTTCTAACAAAATACAAGACCAGAGTTAAATATGAATGAGAAGCAGAAGTTAGAGCTTACCCAGGGTATTATGTTCTCCACCTTTTCACACTTCCTGTTTAAAAAATAAAATAAAAAGTTTCTCAGGAGGCTGCTTTTTTTAGGACTAAAAGCCTTGTCCTTTCCTTCAAAAAAGTGTAGGAGTCTGCTTGATAGCACACCCTAGGGATCATGCCATTAACTTCTCCCTTGACCACGTTAAGAAAATGCCTGCAAGCCCTTGAGTTAATCTTTATAATAATTTGCATAATTAAAACCTCACTGTTTCATTTTGTAGGCTCTGCTCCTCTTTATAGCAGGGTTGTAATGTGGTGTGCAATCACTGAATCTTCTTTGCCAGTCTATTTGCTGATAGCTTTTAAAATAAAGTGTCATTTTTGAAATGTTTCCTTTGAAGAAATGTTGAAGAAAACTGTGTAGGCTTTGTACAGTGATCAGTGCTTTTTAATGAATGACTCAAATTTGGCATGAATTGAAAAGAGGTTTCAGAAGGCCCAAATAAGTGGGATTTGAGAGAAATATTTTCTCTAGCTGTAGAGTTGAGAGGAGTATTTAGAGGTGGTGATTAAACTCCCTACTTTCAAGATGATGAAGTGTTAGAAATTGTACAGATACGCTCAAGCAATAGCAGACATAAAAAGATTGCTGCTTAATCCATCTGTATTTATAGAGGACAAAGTTCTCTATTTGCATCATCGCTATCTATGATGTGTTCCAAAAAACCCCAACAAATGGTTGTATTGGTGTTGTTTGAAGCCTTTCTTGTACTGTAACTCTCCTAGGTTGTGTTTTATGGAAACATTACATGGTTGACTTATTTCTTCATAAAATCATTTGTTCCATGCCCTGTGTTTTCCAAGCACCGTTTCCCTTTAATCCATTAACAGTTAAAGATGAATATTTGGCAGTGTTTGATTCTACTATAAACAAGTTTCCAACAATGAGAAAGTTGTTTTCATAACAGAAATGCATGTTGAGAAATCCACAGCTGAGCAGTCATATATTCTGTGACTCCTGAACGTTTTAACAGAGGAAAAAAGTCTTTGTACAATATTTGCCTGGTAGGGAGAATGTAAACAAGTTTTTGTTTTTATAGTATTTTGCCATTAGCATGGCTAAAAAAACTTACTGCTGAGCAAAAAATAGAGCATAAAATTTAAAATGAAAAAAAAAAAAAGAAAACCAACCCAACCCTGTAGGGAAAGATTTCAAGCCAGCACTTACCATCTGTGAACTCTACTCTATTGAGCTGATCTTAAAACTTCCATTGGCTTCTTTTTTTCTTTTTTTTTTTTCTCTAATGGAAGTGAAATCTTTTGTTATGGCACTGCAATTCCTAGCCAGAGTAGCAGAGGGTATCTATGTTAGATGACTTTCTTGGATGTATATACCTTTATGTTACTTTGCCGTTCTGGGTCAATTAAATGCAGCATTCTCCACTTGCACATGAGTACATGTGAAACGAAAAGACCTTTTATTACCTGATTGCAGAGCTAGAGGATATGCAGCAGCTTGAACTTTCCTAAAAGCATTTATATCCCATCCTGGCTTTGGAAATGTTGCTGTGGTGTTCGGCGGCTGTGAGTCTGAAGGTGGATTTTGGCTGCGTGCTCTTAAGGCTGCCTCAGCGTGGTTGCATCTGCTTTCTATTGTATTTGGTAGTGTTTGAGAACAAGTTTCGCTGAGTCAGAGACTTAAACTTCTGAAGCTATCAGGGGATTTTTTGGGAACTCCTGCTCCATCCTGTGCAGACATCAAGTGCAGTTTAGCTCTAGGCAGGATCCTTGTAGCATGGTGACTGCTAGTGAGATGTCTGACTGCTACCTCTGTCTTCAAGAATGCAGGAATGAGAGTCAAAGCAAATAATTCCTTCTCTGTTACTAGTTCATCACACAGAGCATATGAGGTTGCTAATCATTATAACCCACAGCGGGGCTAGTATCTTTTAAACAAGAAGCACATGAAGTCTTAATTAGGATAACTTGCATAGTTAATTGCAGTTACAGTGTTTTTCCCTAGTATGTTGTACATAACTGGAATGAAAAGAAATAATATTTAAGGACAGAAACCCCAGAGGATAATGTCAGCCTAACTTGGGAAGGGGTGGGGATAGAGGAGGAGGATTCACGCAAGCCAGGGAAGAATGTGAACGACTTAACTACATTTTTAGTAAGAACAGACACATCTGAATCTTGGGCAGCTCAGTAGTGAGAAAGGGTCGGGAATCATAGGTGCCGCTGAGAAGGGAAATGGAGGAAATCTGAATTTCGCTGGGATCTTTAGTTTAAAGTCTAGAGGAGTTCAGTGGACGGAATGTCTGAACCTGTAGCACCCTTCCCTCTAATCCTGGGCACTGGGAAAGAAACATGGTGGCAGAAGAAGCTGGCGCCTGTATTTGTATTAAAGATCAGAGGAAACTGGAAAACTAACTGGAAAATATTAAAATGTGCTGAAATGTTTTGCTCATATAAAGGACTGTGTTTATAAAGACTCGAAAGAAAGCTCTCCGTATTAAACAGCATTAATGCAATAGAATTGTGTTTGCAAAACTAGTACTATTTATCTCATTATTTTGTAAGCAGTCCAAACCAGTTAAGTGTATTGTTCCCTTTGTGGTTCTGAGGCAGGCTTTCTTGCTTTAGAATGGAATCCTTCACACCAGTATAGCTGAAGTTAAATATATTGTCACCTGCATATAGTAATATTAAATTTTATGCAAATATGACTCGGACAAAAAAAAAAATCTCTTTCTTCCCCTTCAGCTCAATGTGATTATCAGATCATTGTTACAGAATCTCAGAGAGAAGATTGATCAGCTGAAGGACTTGCTGCTTCGGGCTGTGTCAACACACCAAATGTATCTGTGTAAACATCAACCTTTCTGTATTGTGGGAGAGGGTGGAAAAATATGCTATAATTGCTCTGCCAGGCAGTTAGGGTTTTTCCCTCATTCCATTTTTAGAAGACTTTGTCACTAGAACTTTGTCCATCCTGCTGTTTAATATTTTCATTCCAGCTGTAGTGTAGGAAGATTTGGGAGCCTGGGCATCTCTGGTATGGTGGGCTTTGGTTACAATTGGATAGTAGGGAAGCTTAACAAGATGGTCTAAATAATCTCAGAGCTGCCATTGTCTTGCCTGTGCACTGTGCCGACAGTACCGTTTGAGTGGCTGGTTTGTGAGCTAAGATCGCTCATCTGGCAGAGAACTTGCTAATCTGTTATTTTCTCTTGGCTCAGTTGCTGGCTGCAGGAGCGCCAGTGCTTGCAAAAAGGAAGGATGAAGCTGTGTTCAGGGTGTGGGCAGGAATGTGGCACCTCTGACTTGGACTGACTTAAGCAGCAATAGAACTGCGTCTTCAGAATGATGTCAAAACGCTTTAAAATATGCCTTAGAAAAAAAATCACAGGTTTTCTTATAGGAACGTTACCCTGTGGCCTGGCTTGAATTTGCTGCTCCTTCCATATGCTGGGATAGTCAGGCTTAAGGAGTCGAGTACGTTCGTGTCCCTGAAGATATCCAGCAGCAATGTGATTTAATGAATGAATGTTTAATTTCAAGCTTACTGTAGCAGAAATCCCTTTGAAGCATGGGCCTCCTGAGTGCTGTGCTGGTGGTCAGGGGTAAAACTTTCCTATCCAGTGAGTGCTTGAGAGCAGACGAATGCTACAACTGTGGCAGAAAACATACACAAATCAGTTTAGCTATTGTATGATCTACTGAACAGTACTTGGAAGAGAGTTAGTAGTCCTTCAAAGTGTCACAAAGATTAATTAAAAAAAGCAAACACATGTCCCCTGTCAATGCCTCAGCACTTCAGGGCATCTTGTCCTTCAGAGATACTGTATGAATTGTTTTTGTGCTGCATCAGTGGCTGTCGGGGTGTTCTGCTGATGAATTGCAAATGGAAACATGCTCAAAGTAAATTTTTGGTTGTTTGCCCATCACTTGGCTGGGAGGTACTCACCTGGTCAGTGTTATGACCCTCCAGTGAAATAAGATGTGAAGTACCCTGCTGATTTTAAAAGCTCTATTCTGCTTGGGCTTGCCCCATTTATATCATAACAGTATAAGTTGGAGCTCTTTTAAAGACTCATCTTTCCCTGAACTTAACCTGTGCAGTACTGTTGTACATTGTCAGTGTTACAGAAGAGATCAACTGTGTAGGACTTCTTAGTAATAAATGAAAGAAGAATTATGTTGGATTTTGGAGAGGGAAATGCTATTCTTAATACTTATGCTACTTTGGCAGTAAATAGCCTTCCAGTTCTCTTATTACTTTGAGATGATGACCTGAAGGTCACTCTGTGGTCACTGTATGAAACTTTTTCTTTGAGATATGTAAACTTCAGAAACACATTTAGAATAACAACAGATTTCATTCAGAAATCTGTGACCTGTTCTCTTAGGTGTTACAGCCTTTCCTTGAGTTAAAATAGTTACTCTAGTTAATTTTGATGATCAGGAGGTCTGATTTATTTTAAGAATGTATAACAGGTATTATTTTATTCACTAAAATTAAAGTTTTTCAGTGTTTTTAAGTTTGGTCCTTAACCAAGTATCATCAGCACACAGCTGGAGGGAGACAGGAGGCAGAATTTGGTGGATGACCTTCTCACACGACAGAAGCAACTTCAGGCATCTTACAAGAATGAAGGCACAGAACCAGATGTGATAAGGTATGGCACTGTCAACTCGAATGAACAATGTGGTTCGTGCTTTGAGTGTGTCTGAAGATAATGTTAAATGCATCCATTGAACTCATGTACCTCTACATGTAGCAAACTGCAGTTTCATTTGCTTAGAAATCACATGATTTCTTTAGGGACAGTATCATGTATGTCTGCAAAGCTGGGGAGGACGAGGGAATGGGGAGTTGCTTGCAAGAGGTAGTAGCTGACTAAGTGACCCAGTAGAGTCAGTCACTGAGTTGGACCGGTGGGTGCCACCATACAGGGTCTGCATGAATTGTTGGAAAGAAAAACTGTCAAGATGAGGCTTAAGCTTCAAACAGTCCCCAGTGATCATATTGTGTAGCAGTCAGTGGGGGCCTTCAGATGGACTACATTTTAATTTCCATTTTGGTGTGTCCTTCACAGGTGGGAAAAATAATTATGGTTAATAGCCTTCAAGTTGTGCTCTCCTTATGCAGTTCTCATGTAGCCCCTTTCTAGTGGAAGGAGTTGTATCTGTCATCTCTAATAGGTTCTTGGAAAGAATTGATCCCTGGTGGTCTCTGTCTGATCAGGAAGAAAGGTAGAGTCTTTTCTTGAAGTTTGAAATTCAGGCCTCTAGCCCGAGTTAATAAATTATTAGCAATGCATAAGTTTGGTTTGGTGGGAGTCACACAGGTGCTGTGTCCAAAACATATGAACCATATTGGGCATAGACTTGGTATAACTATATAAAAAGATGACTCTTACTGGAGATGTTGCAGTCCTGCAAGCTCAATGTGCAGTGCAATAATGAAGGATGGGTTGTTTCTAGTGCTTTGTTAATGGCCTTTTGAATTTTATCCGTTTCTGGTTAGGTCAGCACCAGCTTTTGCCTATGGAATTCCACTCGCGACTATTTGCTCCTCTTGGCTGTGCCTCAGAGTTTTTGGTAGCTTCAGTTCCTGCACAAGCATGCGTCTTGCTGAGGAACTCCTTGCAGCTACTTTACATCCAGAAGCTTTTATGTCTCACTAAAATACCAAATTAAAAATGCTTGCTGAGCAGCAGAATTGAGAGATTCCTGTGAATTTGTTACGCTTCTATTTCCGTTCTCAGTTCAAATAGCATAACCCACCCTCACTTTTCTCCTTGTTCCTCCTCTTTCCCAGTGTATTTTCAGCGACATCCCCACTGGTCGACAGAGAGTATCCTGGGTCCAGCCTGGAGCTCTACGTGTGCTATAGAAGGTCTAAAGGCTGTGCTAATGAGGTTCTGTCTCTTCAGCCTCTTCATCTGTGTTGTAAAAGTTGTTTTTTCTTTGAGACTCCTTTTTCTTTCAGTGTGCTTAAACTGCCCAGTGAACCAATTGCTGGAGGAGAGAGAGGAGAAAAGGGGTAGCAATAAATAAGCCTTGTTCCTAAGCTGGTAGCCAGGCTGTCATTTCCTCCTTCCTCTGCAAGCAAATGGGTAGTAGGTCTACCACCTTAGCACAGGATTAGGGCCGTGGATGTCAGAATTGAAGTGGCATGTGTTGAGGGACAACTTTGGAACCATCCTTATGATTCACTGGGTGATATGCTTTGATCTCTATTAGCCCTAGGCCAACATTCATACAAAAAATGAAAAGCCCCTCTGTCAGAAAGTATGAATTACCTGTCCCCTGACCCCACGCAGGTCACTAAACACTGCTCTGTGTAAGAGTTACCATTTTGGCTAAATTCCAGCGCAGGTAATTGTATTTGCTCTTCCTAATTTTATCTTTGCAGATTCAGGTAATCTTCTGTCCTGCAAAATAGTGCAGAAGAGAAGCAGAGCTGCAGTCTCTGAGTCTACAGAGCTTGCTGTATTTCCACGGTCAATGAAATGACTCTCAAGTGTAGACAGTAATTGGTAAAACTTTGGTTTAAAGCCTCATATTCTTAAAGAAGTGAACACAGATTCTCGGAAGTTCCATATGAATCACGTCTGTTGGGCCCAGCACCTATTTTGTTGATGTGTGGGAAGCTTTAATGCAGCAGGCACAGACTTCTTAGGCTGGTTGTGGGTCATGCAGGGGGCTGTGCTCTGCCCTGTAAGCACTGCACAATGCTGCATGTGTGGTCTGGGTCATACGATGTGGCTGAGCAGAGCTTCATCACCTCTGCTGACCCGTGGTGTAGCAAGGTCTGCCTCTGAAGAGTGCAACTGTACTTCTCCAATATGGACATGTGATAGAAATACATATTTTTAAAAATTTTTAACTTGTGCTTCTAAGTGGCAGATGTTTTCTAATGCACTATATTCACTGGACCTTTTCTGTAGCAAACAGTGTTGTATTTTATACATGCACATGTAAGGTTACTTGTGGGAGGGAGAAGAGTTAGAGCCCTCCTGAGAAAGTTTCTCACCTTTTTGCAGTATGTCAGCCCTCAGTCTTAGAACAGAACAAAACTTCATATACTTTTAACTCCTCACACTTTTGAATAAATAGGCAAGCCTTTTTGCTGATGTTCTTTGAGAACCAGTTCCTTCTCAGCACTGTGCTCTTGAAAAAGGCAGAGACAGTTTTGAAGCTATTGTATAGTAAAAAATTGGGTACCAATGTGAGCGTTGTGTTCTACCATAGCTGTTGAAAATAAGATTATTTTTTTTTCTGGCTTGTTTATTTTGTGTATCTTGGAGCAGATACAAGAGTTACTCAGAGTTTAACTGATAGTTTTCTGTGTTCACATGTATATTCGCGTTTTGTGGGGGTCTGTTCAGTAACATGGTGTAGAGGTTGGTTTCTGCTTGCTTTTGTTCTCCGGTGCAGTGTTTGGTACAGCCAAAGCACATGTTTCACTTCATGGTTTCTCATCTTTGCGACACTACATGTTGTCAATGCAACACCTGCTGCAGATAGTAAAACTGTAGACTTTGATCGAATCCATTAATTGTTCTAGGTTTGCCATTCTCCAGAGCGCAGTGCAAATCCAGTTGATGCATTGGTGCTGGCTTTTATATCTATCACTGAGCCAACCGAAATGTGTAAAATAGCAAGTAGGCAAAATGTCTATGGGAACTGATGATGTGAGAAAGCTCTTGTGTGTCACCTGCTCTGAGCAGTCCATAAACTGATCTGACGTTCTGAAGCATGGCCATCCCTGCTGTGGCAGGGCAGCGTTGGCATGCTACTGCTGTGGAGCAGACAGAGGGCAAGGATTCAACTTAGAGCTGCCCTGGCATAAAGGTGTCGAGGCAGATGGGAGGAAAATACCAAAATCCCATGATGATTTCAAGCTCCCTTAGAAATGATCAGGGAAACCAGTATATTCCAGTACAAGATAACATCAGAGACACTATTTATTTGCTAGTGTTGCAAGGCTTGAAGTTTTATAGTTCTCTTTTAACTTCTTTATTTAAAAATGGATAAAACTATGCCAACTATTCTCTGCCTGGTGAATTCACACCCCGTCCATACTCTCCCTTGTAGGTCTTGTTTTCAGTGGTGCGGGCAGAGACATAGCCAGGGCCTGAATCTTGTTCCAGTAAGTCAAACCTTTCTCTCTTGCCTGAGCCTGGCCTCCATGTTGGTCAGTAGGGAAGGATCTTGTCTCCCCAGCCTGCCATACTGCTTGTAGGAACAGAAGGTGACAGGTTCTGGTAGGGTTAAGCTGCTATTTACAGCACTGGGTTTCTCTGAAATTGTTGCAGACTTCTGGAACAGCCTGCTTTGCATTTCAGTAGGTGGCAAAAACCTCTCTTCAGTGTGTCTGAAGTCTGAAAGTCAGCTTTTCCCACTGCATTAGAAAAATCAGCACATGTTGTTTGATTAAGTTCTAGCAGTGACACTTTTCTCTGGTTTTGTATTGGTTTTCCGTATCTAATCCATCCCTGATGTGACAGCACACATTTTCAGAAGTCTTTTTCTTTCCAGCAGTCATTCCTTTCATTAACCTTCTTGCACCGCTGATCACATATTTATTGTCCCCGTGGCCTATAACTGTGAGGGTTTCACTAGAATTAATCTTCGTTTATATTTGGTCACCATTCAGTGAGTTTTACATCCTTTGAAAACTGCTGTAAAGCTATTTCTGATTGTGAAGTACAGTGGCCTTAATGCTCTTAGTATTTATCCTAACTGACAACTTGGGCCAGAACACAGGGCAGGACGCTACGTTACTTTGGTATAGCATTAGTTTACCTTCCGGCGTTGTCGGTCTTAATTAAGATGCAACTGGAATTTTCCAGGGGAAAGGTTGTGCTGTTTACGTGACTCTGCTTGACTAGGGTCAGTTAAATTTTCTTTAATTGGTTTTCAATAGGCAATTTCAGTATCTTCTCCCCTCTTTTCTCCTTGGAAAGAGATCTGTGCAGGTTATTCTAACAGAGGCTTTAATGGAGTAGAAATCCCTATGGTTTTACACTATTTGAAAGCAAGAAGTGAAGAAAACAACTAGAAACGTTGACTTTCTGGAAATCACAGTATCAAAGTTTTGTGAGTCTTTAAACATTTGTGGAGGCAAAGGAATCAAGAATATTCCTCCTCCTGCCTGACGAGGTAGTCAGTATGTAGAAGTATATGTCGATCACCAGTGAATAAATAAATTGTGTGTACTTTAACATGCCTTTCTTGGTTTCTCTTTTAATTTCTCAAAAATATAGAAAACTTTTGATAGCTGTGGGACACAAAATACCTTAAGTAATAGCTACCCTGGATAACTTTTAGAAGAGTCCATATATTTTTTTTTTTAATGTGGGTTACCATTTTTTCTGCTTAAATACTTTTCTGTCAGATGTAGGACATTTAGGTCTTATTGCAAACAGGCATTTTGCCTAATGCCAAATAGGAATTGAGTGCCCAACTTTAATCAATAAGCCATTAGGTGCTTTTAAATGCTTATGTGAACCTGGCTTTTGTTTATGGAAAAGCAAATGCTCTTTGGAAAACAAGATTAAAAATAGTTGTTTAGGTGCCTTTAAAACTCCTTCCTGATTTCCTTCCTCCCTACCAGTTAGTGTTGCAAGCCCTCCCAGCTGCAGCTACAGCGTTCTGACATGGGATGCGATTAGCCTTGTGTCTAGGAGATCGATGGAAAGGGTGGAAAAAGAGGTCAATTGTCCATCCAGAAACCCATGCTTGAGAATGTCTGAGGCTTGAGTCATAAGATCAAATCTAGGGGCTGGGGCAGGATTTTTCCAGGGTTAATGTGCCTTTGGCTGTGTAGTCATGAGCCAACATGGTCATAATTGTCTCGACACCCTCCTCATCCACTGAAGTGTGTCTCTGTACGTGGGTCATCTCCTGTCGTACCACTTGTCACCTGGAAGCACTCTGTAGGTTACAGCATGTGCAGACGTGAGTGTGTCCTCATGCAGGCAGCAGGTACAGTGCCTGTTTGGCTTACCACAAAACCCAAGGGTTGTTGAGCCCACCCCAAATTTAAGAAAAATTCCAGTAACATAGTGAAGTTTCTGGTCTGTGTTCAAGGGACAGTTTGTGTCTCTCTTCTTTCAGAGCATACCAGAGGTTCCTTAAGGGCATGCTGGGTCTGTAGTGAGACCAGATACCAAGCTGAGACCTGCTTGGAGGCTCATGTTCCTGTTGCTTGTGGTCACGCAAAATTCAGCTGCCGCACAGAGAGCAAAGGTTCAGGTGTGAACTTAGTACTGCGTCTTGTCCCGAAAGTAGCCCTCTGAATGGCACCGAGGGGGGAGTCCATTGCCTCGGGTGCAGAGATGCGAGTTGCAGGTGATGGAGTTGTTGATCATTTTGTGAACAGGACAGATAGTTTCACCGGAGTAGATTTGTCCCTTCACCTTTTCTCTGGATGAAATTATACAAGATGCAGCGTCTTTCTAGAAAGAATTCTCTTTTGTAATTCTCTCACTCCTGAGGAGTGCAAGTGGGCTGTAGAGGTGAGACTGTTTCGATGAGCACTATATAAGCTGTTTTATAATATATTTAGTATTGTGCTATGTCCAATCTTGCATAGAACATAAGGGATGGTGTAGAAAGAAGATGGTAATATTTGACAGCAAGATTAATCTCTGACGGAAATGTTTATTGTGTGTATATTTTGAGGGTTTGCATAGGAAAGTGAGACTGCTATGAAATAAAATGTGAGTGTAAATCTTGTTATAAAGATAACCTTTCCTGGGGATGCTTACCCTGGTGTAGCGGTACCTCCTCTGTGTAGTTTCTTGCCACAACCCCTCCACCCAGACACTCAGCATTTCGAATGGACGTGTTATTCCAAGTGCACCTGTACAACTGTGCAAACACGCTTCCAGCTTGTTGCTTGCCTTGTGCTGCTGCTCCATGGGCACCTGCTGTGCTGTACAAGCATGAGGTGGTTGGGAGCTGCTTGTTCTGTGGTGCGAAGCTGCTGTGCCTATGTTGTGGACAGGATTTAGTGGTCCTGGAGGTGCCGCAAAGTAGCTGTGTTCTGCAAATCAGCTGTCCGGCATCCCGTGAGGTAGCTGGCTTGTGCAGCTTCCAGTCATTGAAGCCAGTGGGACCAGTTAACCGAACCATAGATAAACGGTGTCAAGAGCAACACGGCATTTCCTTAACCATGAGATGTGCTGCTCTTGGTTCTTGTGCTGGTAGAGCTAGGGAAGTCCTCTGCTAGCTGCAGGGAATGCTGCCCCTTCTGTAGGCTTCCTGTCGGGAGCAGTTCTTGTGGGGAAGTCTCCACCTGGGAAGGTACCTGAAGGGGATTTGGAAGTGCTTGTGCTCGTGTGGCTTCTCCTGGGGTTTTTGGAGGGGGAGATAGCTTTTGTTTTGTATGGTAAAATTATACTGGTTTTATTTGTTAGCTTGGAGCTTCCTAAAATGCACTGCCTGCCAGTGTGAGCAGTTAAATTGTAAGTGAGAGAATACCCCTGCTTCTTCGCCATTGCTGTGGAGATTGACCTGTGAAGCAAGCTGAGGTGCCCTGGGCACTTCACAGAGCCCCACTGTATAACTGTATCGTTAAGGGAATGTTCAAGTGATCATCCAACCAATTGTCATATGACCCAGGTTTTGTTTAAAATTCAGTCTTGCTGATCAGTCTTCTAAAGCCGTAAGCCTTGATGTGTGGCCTTGGTCTAAAGTAAGTGCTGGTTGACTAATCTAAGTTACTTGGAAAGTTTTATAAGAATTATCAGTGAAACAATGCCTTCTGGAAGATAAGCCCTCCCTTGTTAAGCAGTGACATAGCTCCCTGATTTTAAACCCCATCATCTTTTATACTTGGGCGCATTGCTAAGCCTCATAATTAGTTAAATCTGCTCCTATAATCAAAAGCTATCCGCACACTCCACTGCTCTGTGACGGTTTCAAAGATTTACGTGATTAACTTGGCGGAGACAGTGGGTGGCTAATTGGATAAGCTTTAATCTTCACACCACCAAAGCGAAACATGGTAAGATCAGAGGAAATAGGAAGTTATGCTGTGTTGTGTGGGAAGGTAGTTACCAAACATGTCAAAAAGATTATTGTAACGAGCAGACCAGTTGTCATGACCCAACCTACAAGAATAGGGCAGATTATTAGGGGGGAGGGAGAGAGTGAGGGGTGCAAATTATTTCAAATTTGCTTGCCTTGGCTTTTTTTTTTAACAGGCAGAAATAGTTGTGCTCTTTTTAGCAAGCGAAGAGCTTTATGTTCCATTTGCTTTATTTAAATAATTTTGTCAGATGTTGTTAAGCCTAGATTTTGTGTGCTTGCTAATTGAACTGCTGAACTGGGTGAACTGTAATGATCTTTGCATCTTCAGAAGTGTAATGCTTCCAAGGTGTTTAGGTTTGTAAACCTGGTAGCAGTCGTTGTGGGGCTAGGAAATATGAGAGTGTGTTTAATCCCTCAAAGCAATGAAGAAAGCTAGGTAATGTGTAAAACTGTAGTTCAGGTGTGTGTATTTTTGTCTAATCAAGCCCGATTCCCTACCTCGATAAATACTTGTTAAGTTTTGGTGGAGGTGTAAGGACTGGCAGACAGAAGAATCCCAGCTCCTCGCTTTCAGATGTTGCCCGTGACAGCCAGCTGGTCCATTGGCACAGCGGGGCCATCTGGGTTCTGCTCTGGAGTGGTGTTCCAGCATTGTCAGGATGGTTAAGTGAGATGTTGTGATTTACAATAAGGGCTTTTGACTCCTGTAGCAAAAAAAAAAAAAAAAAATTTTCTTTGATTCTGACAAATCCATTACCTTGAGATGAAGTTGAGTGAACATGTTAAAATTTTAAGTGAGAAGAGGTTAACTGTTCTTGAATTTAACTGGCTGTGAATGCAATATGAAGTGTGTAGTGCACTGTACACAGATGAGGACGTATGTGCCTGTAATTTATGGATGGCCCAAAACTCATGTGGTGATGAATTATTTTTCAGCAGTGTTGATTCATCTCATGGCCAGGAGATGTCTCTAGTTCACCATAATTCCTCAAGGAACTCCTAGGCACAAGTTCTGGATTTTGCTTGAATACCCTTGCTGTGAGACTTCAGTCATCCTTCCACAGAGCTGAAACCCGTATTGGCAGGGTGCATGAACTCCTCCAAGCTCCACTAATACTGTGCAGTGTTAACTTCTTTTGATACAAGATTTTAACCACAAAATGATTTCGAGTATATATGTGTGTACTGTACAGCATTTCAGCATATCTCACAGAGAAGGGATCTGGACTCAATTAAAAAAACCAAAAAAACAATTAAAAAAATTTAGGTCTTGGTATAATTAAAATGTTTTGAGAATTTGAGAGAACTTAAAAATGCTCACTGTTCTTGTTTTGTTTGTGGAAGTGCTTTGGGAAAGAACAGGGCAAAGGTAAAATGAGAATAAAATACAGAGTTTAAAAAAAGCAAAGCAGAAAGCAAAACCTCTTACTTCTAGTACTGCTATTGAGGAACCGATCTTTTGATGACTCTCGCCCAAATCTGAATTGCAGTTTTGGGTTCAAGTGGCTCACATCTGTCATATGTTTTTCTTGTAGGAGAAACCAATGAAAAGCTGAAAGACAGAAACCAGGAATCTGCTATTGAGAAAAACATTTAAGTGGCATTTCATTTTACTACTTGAATTTATTTGCCCTGGACATGAAAAACTTTTTTTCCGTTGTAAGCAGGGAAGTGTCTATAATGCAAACAACCTGAAGTCATAATTCTTTTTGAAGAAAACCCATAACTTGATTACTCTTTCATTTAAGAGTGTGTGTGCCTGACTTCTTGTTCATGTTGATGCCAGACTAGGAAATGCAGGAGAGTAACTGTGTGACTTCCATCTACATTTTTTGAAATGCAGATACGTTCCCTTTTAGGTTTGGTCAGGATTGCAGAAAATTAGTAGTCTCATCTGATTTGCATCTGTATTAATGTGTTGATACTTTTACTGTTGGAAGCTTTCAGGATGTACCTCAGTGTTTTTGTAAGTTTGTGTTTTGATCACATAGCAAATACATGAATAATATGTGTATTCCCAGAAACCCTATTCTTTTTCTAGCAGTTTTGAATGCTGTGTGTTCTACATGCAAACAATATTTAATATGAACATATTATACAATGTATGGTATATGTTTCACCTTGTAGCTTAATTGTTCACTGCAAAATTAATTCTCTCCCTGCTTTACCACTTCTAGGCAGTGTTATGGAGCCTGCAAAAGGTATTTGTTATTGGAGATTTTCGGATTCTTTTTGGTTAATTTCTTCTCTGATTGCAGAGAATCACACGGAGTGCAACAAATACATACACTTCCATCTCAGTCAGTCTTGCAAGCGCAAATTATACAATGAATGGGTTTTGTGTTGAAAATTATTTGCTGAAATTATTTTCAGATCTAGCCTAATGACGGGAGGGGTCAAACGAGGTGTAACCAATCCATGGCTCTTGGAAGAATCTGAGGAAACCAGAGGGCTTGGCTTTGATGATCTCAGGCAGCAGCAGCGAAGGATCATAGAAGGTACAAGGGTTTTTCTGTTATTTATAAGCATTGCTAGGACTCTGAGAGGAACCCTTATAGAAAGTCAATACAGTAACCTGTGCTGAAGTTTTATTATCTGGAGATGTCAAACATAATAGTTTCAGGCCGTTGTTTTCCGTATTTGCAGGAGCAGTATTGTGTTTTCACTATTCTTAACTGGAAGCATCTTCTTAAATCAAATTTTCAAAGACCTTACAGGGCATCCCTGATTTTGACCATATTAATGGTTTTGGTTTGCAGTGGAGATCTCATTAGTTGCACTGAAAGTAGTGGGATTACTGCTGTGCTTCAGGCTGGGGTGCATTAGATGTATTGTTGAGTTGGAACAAGGTAAGAATTAACTAATCTAAAAAGGGTCTTTAGATTTTGGCCCTCAGCATCTGTAAGGAATTTCTAACTTTGGAAGTGTTGGAAAACCTCAGCCTGAGTATGTCAGGTGGTTAATGAGGTAATTTCTATACCATTGAAGTATTGGCAGTGATCAAATGAAATCAGTCTCCAGATAAGGCCTGCTTCAGTCTGCATGTGAAACAACATTTATAGTTACGGTTCAGGAGAATGGCACGAACTTTGTTTGGATGGCCCAGGTGAAACCTCAAGCTCCAGTCTTTGTTGACACCATAGGTATCCCATGGGCAGGCTGAAAGAGGTATTGGGTGCCAGACCTTCATCCCATTGAAGGGAGGGGGGTTCTGGTCATCCTGTACAATTTCTGGCTGCTGCACTGCAGCCGGCTGGCAGTCTTGCTCTGTGCAGCATTGCTGCTCCTGCAGTTTCAGACCACTGACAGTCCAGCCTCCAGCATCTCTTCTCGTTCTACTTGATGACTTTGGGCAATGAGAGCTGGCCATTCTGGTTAAGCTGCTTACTAAGGACTGCGTGGTACCTGCAAACTGGAATAGCAGAGGTGATATGGATCTTAATAAAGGAGTGTCTGCAGAGCTGGTGGGAGCACATCAAACTTTAGCAGCCCCCTCACGTGCCCTCTGTCTTAGGCTCTCTTCCATGCACTCTGTATCCTCTTGCAGCTTTAAAAATCTATCTGAATTCTTTGGTGTTTGCATCACCTGTTTGTCTTTTGTTCATGTTAAAAGTTTCTTGAAAAATTTAAAAAGGCTAATCAGAGATCTCTATGTGTGTGCCAGAAAATCTCCTGCATTTATGATTGAGTAACAGCTGAATGTTGAATTCTTGGATATTTTTTGGGGGGGGGGGGGGGGCGACCCTCAGCTAAATGTCCCAGCTAGAGCAGACATATTAATTACCCATCATTCATATTATTTTAAGAGTGCTGTTGCCACAAGGATTCATTTTCATGTTGTGTTGATGTATTTTTCTTAATACATTTTAACTCTTTAAGCACAGAGTACATCTTTTTCTTTACTTCTGCATCTTTTATAGTACATAGCCTGGCATATCAGCAGTTTTTTTCATGTAACTTTATATATTTTTCTGTTGCAGAGCAAGATGCTGGACTCGATGCTCTTTCTTCAATCATATCCCGACAAAAGCAAATGGGGCAGGAAATTGGGAATGAGCTGGATGAACAGAATGGTAAGAACAAGACTCATAGAGACTCATTTTGCCTCATTTTTATGTAAGATTGTGATTTATTTTTTTTCACTCTTCATACAACTGCACTGCTTTTTGCCCACAAGACAGTACTGTAAATGTTTATGTATGAACAACCACTACAGATTCTATCTGTTCATGACCTGGTTGTTTTATTGTGTTTCACTACATAACCTGTTGAGCATGTACAATGTATAACACTTGGTATATTTTTGTCAAGCCTGCCTTTTAAAAGAAAAGATTGGTGATTATTTGTACAAAGTACAAAATTAATTTTATACTCGATCTTTTGCATTTTCCAGTTTTATGACAGTTTTTATGGTAAGCTTTTATGTGTTGCTGGGTTTCACTTGAGCATTCTTATTCTGTGTCTTTCCTTATTCACTAAATGGAAAAGTCTTGAGCCAGCGATTAAAGGAGAAGTGTTGTATTGTTTGCTACAAATTATTTGGATTTTGAAGGTTTCATGGCATTGAATGTAGGATCAAATTAAGTGCAATATTGAACTAGAAGAGTACCTATTTTCTTTAAAATGAACCAGTATCCAAATGATGGAATTGCTCTCCTGTTAAATATGCTTTGTTACTCACTTAATTGTTCGCGTGACATAAACTGTCCCTAGGAGAGCAGATCCTCCAGTCTTTCTGACTTTTTCATCTCTTACAATATGGTAATAGTTCAATTAAAGCCTTGGAACCCTGCCAGCTTTCTCCCTTGCACAAAGGCTTGAGCCATATGGTTTATCCTTGGGTTCTGTTGTACTTAACCACTGAGAAGGTAAATGTCCTTTTACTTGCTAATAAATGATATGCTTAAATTGGCTTCTTCCTGGACCTATATTTTTTTTTCCCTTGTATTTCTCTGCATGTCTGCTCAGAGTGAGGGGGTTCCCGTATTAACAATCACATAACACGAAGTACTACTTGGGAGCTCCGTTCCAACTGAGAGTGAAGTAAGGGGGACGGCTTTCTCATGTTTACCTTGCATACATGGCTAAATCCAGGAGGGGTATGAAATGTCTAGAATATGTCTTTGTTTATTAATCCTAAGGTTGTTAAGAAATGGTTTGTGCAGCTGGGAGAAACTATGCTTAGTGGTCTTGTCATATTTTGATCCTCTGCCTCATGTGAGCAAAGACATTTTCAGTTAAAAATCTGTTTTATAAGTTTCTTCTATTAACTGTTGTTTAAAAAGTCATATTAATTGCTTTTTTTGCTCTAAATAGAAAACAGGTGGGAAGCATGAGCATGTTTACTAATTCTCTGTGAGACCTTGGTTTCTCATCAGGAAAATACACGTTCTGTGTCCCATTTCCCTCTGTTGGGGGTAGGGGAAGGTTCCCCAAATCCTTATGGTTTTGGGACCCTGAAGGTAAAGTGTATTGTACCATCGCATTTCTGCGTGACCATGCCAGACTTTTCTAGCAGGGAAGCCTTGAAACATCTGTGACATTGGGAATGTATTTAACCCTCCTTTTTTGCAAATCATGCCAGTTTTGTTTGTCTTACAGATAGTTACAAAGCCTAAAGCAAAATTCTTAATGTTTTCATGTGAGCTATTTTTTGAGCTACAGGCAACTCTTTCTCAAAGGATGGAAACTTTCCCGAGTGCTCAGAGTAAAAAGTGGTGAGGATTGCCTGTTGCTGACTGCAGGCCAGATCCTGGGGGAATAGAAAACACTGAGTTGCCTCTGCTTTTCACTGTCCTAGAACCACAAGAATAAAATCTGCCAGCCATGTAGAGTGCATCGTTTGTAGATCTTTAAGCAGTCTGAAAAAGGTGGGAAATAGTCTGGCTCTTACAGACAGGGGTCCAGATTACTCAGCACTTAGCTTCATCACTACCAAGCAAGTGGGACTCCCATGTTTTCTCTGACATTATGCAATCCCCCCCTTTTTTTTTTATTTTTTGTGGATAGAGGGGTGTATGATCAGACATTTCGTTGCCACTGGCACACTGGAAAAGCTGAAATCCCTAGCAATATTTTCTAGGGGCTACTTTTGCTTTGCACATCTGATTTCATGCCCTGTGCTTAACTATCTACAGACTTTTCTCAGGCACTCTGCCAATCTCGTGTCACTGTTACATGGTTAGGTTGATGAGGATAACTGCCCTGTAATTTCCCCTTACTTGGAATCTCTTTCCTTCCTAGTGCTGAGTGATAATGGCATCGTCTGTATTGTGGGGAGGCAGGAGAAGTTAATCTGCATTAAGTGCTACATCAATATTTCTTTTTATTCAAGTCAAATTTTCCATCAAATTGCCTGTTTCTGTGGGAAGTTTGAGTTCCACTTCCCTGACCTGCTTTGGACATTCCCACCTTCTGCAACTAATTAGGTGCCTTTAGCTTGTTCTGGCGTTATGATAAAATGTGGCTTAATGCAGAAGTAGCTGATAATGTCTGATAGTTAATGAAACAGACGTTAGGGAGCTGGGCAACTGTACTTATTTTCCGGACAACTTATTCAGGCCTCTTTTTTTCTTCCCTAGTAGCTCAGGTTCTCTGTTCAGTTGAGATATTTGCACTTCCCAGCTCTTCGAGGTAGCCTGAGGCATTTTCCCTTGAGTGCCAGTTGGTGTAGCTGTGCATTTGCAGATGCACAAGTATTGGAGGCATCCTGATTAATTATGCAAAGTTTACTTCTCGAGTAGAGTTGGTACATGTAAATTCTTTTGTGTTTGTTAAATGACTGAAAAATGATTAAACTTTGCTTTTCGAAGGGTAGTTACTTGGCAGTATCTATTTTTACTTCACTGGTGGGCTGAGAGGCAGTGATGGGCAGTAATGTTTCAGGTTTGTAAGAGGGCATCCTGCAAACGGGCCAGGCTGCAGTGGTTCCTGTGTTCTCCAGAAGAGTCGGTCCTTCTCCTTGGGCAGGCTGGGAGACACTAGCCTTGCTTAGCTCCACGTCCCTGCAACGCTTGTCTTTTGGCAGATCTCTCTGAGCTTCCTCCATAGTCAGCAGACACCATCAAGGATTGCTCAGGTGTGATCCCTCCAGCCTGCCTGACACGTCCACCTAGGAGCAGGGCACAGTGTGTCCTGAAAAAGCCAGTTTTTCCCCACCAAACTGTAAAGAGAGCCTGGGCTCGGATGGAGGTGGTTGCTTTGCAGACATCTGCCCTGAGCAGATGAGTCCCATCCTTTGATTTTGTTGAAATGTGTCCAAGTTTTAATTGGAGTCTCATGTCGTTCTTTACTCAGATTTTCAGTATAGCTCTGTCCTTGAGATTTTATGCCTCTTCTCAAAGCCGATGGTCCTTTTCAAACCTCCTGAGTGTAGTATTCTGCACTGATGAGCAAAGTAGAAGCAGGGTAGCAGGAGACATTGGTTTTTTCCAGCCTCAGGAGTTTGCTAACAGTGGGAGAGATGGGGGATTAGCAAAAGAATTTTCCCATCATTAGTTCCAAATTTGGCCCCAGAAAACTTTCTGTAATCCTTTCTTCTGTTACATAAAAAAAAAAAAAAAAGAAAATAGTGTAAATGGCCTCTGGCCCTGTTGATGAGGCAATCTAATCTAGTGCAATAATTTTGGAAGAATGCTTTCAGAAATTCTGAATGCTGTTTGTTTTACCCTTATAGAGATGTTGTCTTCTCATTGTGACATGCTTGCGTGAGAATATAGTACTCTGTGATGGATGGTAAATATTGCTAGCTTGCAAAATTTGTCATGTTTGGCATTTTTACCATGTTGCTCTCCATTTGGTATACACCATTGAGGATGGATTCTTTTGCTGCGGGCTCCTTTGAAATTTATGTCTGAGCGTAAATATGTTCATAAACCGCTGTTTACATCCTTTTACTGGTCAAGAGAATGCTGTACACAGTGAATTTCCAGGATGTTCTTAACCAAAATGGATCATTTCCAGTAAATGATCTCTCATAATGAGGCTTTAATTACATAGTTATGTAACACTTTTAATTTCTTGTAAAAAATCAGATTTCTAAAACCAACCAAAAATTGAAGCATTATGTATTTTATTGTTTGCTTTTTGTTTTTTTTAATAGCTTTGCAAATAAAGGTTGCTCTGTCACCTCTGGTTATAGTGGGTGGCATACAAGCGTCCCAGGTGGACTCAGCTCAGCCTTTCATTTGGTACCAGTTCAATAGTCAAAGCCTGTGACTGGCCTGGTATACGATTTTTGTTAACCTGACATGCTTCCCTCAAAATGCAATTTGGAGACTCCACTTGAGACTGGAGCCCTGTTCTAGCTGTTGCTGTATACGCACATAGAGAAGTATACTTGTAAAATCGAAGAAAGTGAGTTGAAAGTATTCTTGGTGATGCAGAGACTTGTTGAAAACAGCATCAGAAATTATAGCACAGCAGTGGTGCGATTCATTTCTCCTAGGGCAGTGTTCAACCACAAGTCTATCGCTTCTGGTGCAGATAGACCAGTCGGTATATGTACAGTGAAATGCTTCTCCTAAAGATTATTTTACATGGCTATTGCATAATCAAAAAGGAAGCCTGAAGTTGTTTCACATTTCTGTTTATTAAGAACATTTTTGCTATAATACAAACTAATTAGCATTGTGTATGGAATATGTTTGAATTATGAGACTAAAACCAATGGGGCTGTGGATATATTACATCATTGTTAGGATTAGTTTGTAAATAAGAAATGATTAAAGATTAAATTTTAAAAAACGTTCACCATCTTGTCTAAACAATATATGTTTTCATCATATAGAGTTACAATCCTGCATGCTTTGACCCCCTTCTGAGATGGCTACAGTCCTCTGGTCGCTGGGATTTGAAGGTGTTCAGCATTCCTTGAGAAAGGCTGAGCAACAGCAGGTTCAGGTTTTCTAAAAACCGCTACAGAGAAGCATATGTTTTTAATATTCAGATGTAAAATAACTATCCATAGCCTGACTGACCTCATACTATGCAGATAGATTTTTATTTTGCTTCTTGAGCTTATTGTACAGAATAGAAATGACTTCAGTTTTATTGGGGAAATGTTCTGTCTCTA